CCATTAGCGGAATATTTTGTCTATTTGCACCAGATCTATTTCCTTTGAAAGCTATCAACGCCAATATTTTTAAGAGTTTCCAAGTACCCTATAAATAATGGCACTTAAGGCAAGGGGGTTCTACTTTCACTTCTATATTATCATGTAAATTATCAAAGAAATTGCCTCTCTGCACTACTGAATAAAAAAGGAACTCCAGGAATTTCTAGACTTCGACTCAGGCAGACAAAGAAGGGCATGGAAAAGGTGCAGCTCCTGAAACACCATCACAGGTAAGCAGCAGACAGGTTTGAGTTTAGGAAGCTCCAGATGTGCACTAGAAGATGAAAAACCTGAAGTGCCATATGAATAGAGCTTGAGAAATCAATCACAGATTCTGGAAGAGGAATATATTTACAATGTAAAAGCCCTGGATGATACTATTAAAAAAAAATCCCATTCCATGTTCCAAAAGAAGAAGAGTACAAATTGAAAAACAACCCCATTGAGTGACCCAAGCCTGCCTAGGTCTTGTCCAAACCACAACATCTGAGTCAAAGGTGAGGCATCCCCTTGTTCTCCTGCCTGGGTGCCAAACTATGCCCCGCAGTTGGTGTTTTAATTACCCCAATCTAGGCACTTCTCTGAATAGATTATCTATAGCCTTTTACAAAAATAAAAGTGCTCCTCTTTAATTGTACATAACAGCATTCACAACAAACAGCTGCTATTTCAACTGATTCATGTACATTTTGTTTTAGTGGCTGCCCAAGTTCTGCAGCCATTTCAAGAGACAACTTGCTAAACTTGTAAAACATTTTAACTTTATCTGATTTGGCTTTCATCTCTCACACTGAGTTGTAAAACACATTTTTCTTATTCACTAAGAGTGCCACAGACAGAGATTTGGGCTGGAGCCTGATCTACATGACAGCTGCTGAAGCCACGGACAAGAAAAACTGTATCTGAAATTGCAGGGAGCAGGATGGGAGCGATAGCACCTGCAGCAGCCAGGAGCTGCTGAGCTGGGTTAAGATATATTGTCCTGACTATTGCATTTCATTCCCATGGCAATAGCAGGCTGAGTGCACTGTTCAGATTTCAGCAGCTCTGATTCCCCTGGAAAGGACAGAGCCAGTTCAGAGGTGCTGCTGCACACTGAGATTACCCAAGCTGACCTGGCTGGTTTAATTCACTGTGTTAATACAAACACAGGGCTGGTCCTGGTTCCCCCAGGTTTAATTCCCTCTCTTAATACAAATACAGAGCTGCTCCTGGTTCCCCCAGCCTCCAGCTGCAGCTCCACGCAGCCATGCAGAGAGGGCATGTCCTTGGATGGGGTGAGCTGGGGTTGCCCCTAATAAATGCCCCTTCCCATATTTCAGCTTTTCCCTGGTTTTCCTTGGCCTTTTGGGAGCAGCAATTCTCAGCTGGACAGGGTGGCTCCCTGCTGGTGGCCAGCAGGAGCTCTGGGGACATTCTCATTTTTGGGTGTTTTTTCAGCTGCTGCTTAATCACCAGCAAGATGTGCTGATGCTCGAGCAGATTCCAGAGCCTGGTGTGGCCCAAGAGAGATTTCAATTTGACAAGAATATTCTGCAAGGCTCCCAGGATCAGCCTGGGGTGCCTGCAGCTGCCCACAATGGGTATGAGGGGGGTGGGGGCCACAATTAAAATAACCATACACATTCCCTCAGCCCCACCTCTGAGGCTCACCGAGGAGCACTCTAAGGAAGTGAATCCTGAGCACCCATGGCTTATCTCTGAGAACAGGCTGGGCAAAGAGACACCCAAGACTGTCTTGCCCTTTGTCTATCTGTAAACCTTGGGAGATCCTTTCAGATTTTTCAACAGCATTTAATGGACACAGAGAAATGGTAGGAAAATAAGCAAGCAAGTAAAAAGATGGAAAGTAGGAAAGAGAGGTCTTGCCAGAGGAGCTGGAGAGAAGAGATGGCATTTTCAAAGACTGTACAGCACATACAGCAACTTCTGTGAAAAGCTGGAGAGAAAAGTGACCACTGTTAGGGCTTGAGAGTGTTACAGCTTCATCACCTCAATAGGACCTCTCAGTGGTGAACCCAGTGCAAAATGAGCCTCCCCTTTCCTGGGATGTTCTTTCTCTCAAAGGCAAAGCTGCTTTACATTTGTCCTTTGCACCTCTCTTAACCAACTGAGCAGCCCTCTCTCCAGGCATTATTCTTGGAACTTTGGTAGTGTGAACTCAGAGTGCTCCCTCTCCTTTTCCTGTCTGCAGTTGTTGCATCCACAGTGACAGAACTCTCTTTAAAAGCCTTTTGGCAGACTTTGGGTGCCAACAGCCTTGTCAAAGTTTCACTCCAGTTTCAAGCAGAGATTGAAAGATTCATGATTCAAATGTCAGATTTGTGTCTGCTCTTCTCCTTACATAACTTGCAAACACAAGTCACCATGCATGTACGACACCCACAGCCCCTTTTCTTAGCTAAAATAATACAATGCACTTTGGGAGTTTTAAACTCTTCACCTCAGATGAGGGATTTAAGGATGTGTTTAACAAAATTATCTGTATGAATGTTTCCTAAAAGAACTGAAACAGCTGTCCATGTACTCTTACAAAGAGCATCGCTGTCAGCATCTAAAGATGTTCTGCATTTCTGTCAGGAGCTTTGCTTTGATCAAAGGTAGATAAATCTTGTACTACCTGAATTTCTGTTCATGTTAGCACATAGAAGATATTGTTTATACTGTTGGATTGTAAGATAGCTGGATAAAATAGAAATAAATGTATATTCCTACATTTTAGTCTGACTGTCCTCAGGCAACAGAAAGGAGAATGAAACTGTTGCACATCCAAAATTCACCAAGTGAAGATCTAAATGAGAACTCTTATGCTCTGAGATGCTCCATGAAGGGCCTGGGTATCCAAACCAAAGGATGCATTACATTCCTCATTTAGATAATATTTTTAGCTCCTACATTTTTTTTTCTCTATGTACTAAAATATAATAATCTTCTATTAAAAAAATTAAATTGTGCTAAGCACTTTGTTTTCATAAAGCAAATGTTGGCCTTGGCAGACAACAGTCTATGATGGAGGTTTTCATTTGCAGCACCTTAATAGCTTTTTAGTCCCTAACTTAGACCTGAAATTTTCATAGGAAGGAGTCTGTGTAGGAGTTGCCATGAAACAAACATAAAGGCACCTTTCTGTTCATCCTCTGAATATTCACCTTCACTCTACAGCAACAATGGGCTTATATCAGCTTTCTCCCTAAATCAGGAAACAGGGCCCAGTTTTCAAGGACTTCACTCAGCCCTTCTCATCTTTCAGTATGATATTTTATCCACTTTTTAATTTTTATAGGGATACTTATCCCCACTAAATATTCCAAGGGACTTAAAGTCTTGTGTAATTGAATTACCAGGTTTATAGAAAATCATTTATAGGCAAAATTGCCAAGGTGGGTGTGGGGAAAGAAGGAACATTTCAGCAAGATGTGGCCCATTATGCAAATTTGTCACCACATGCCATACATAATGAATAAACCTTGTGCTCTTAACACTTTGATTATAGACTATACAGACAATGCAAATTAAAATTCCTGCTGCTCCATAAACGAAATGAGAGGAAATTATGTAAATTCTAACACATTAGATTGATTTGGTTGAAACAAAACCTGATCCACTTGATGTTTTAGGGGAAGAGCCACAATTACAATGATTGAGAAAGTGCAGTGTTAATGAAGTGTGTTATTGCTAATCAATTCCTCCTCCTCTGGTAGTGGCATGACCATGAGCTGTATCACCCACTGCCCACGAGCCCTGGGGCACAACTGGGGCTGCCAGAAACCCCTGCTGGCACCAGGAGCTCACAGGAGCTCTGTGGCTCACCCAGGAGGGTGAGTGTTCTCACACAGGATCATGGAATGGTTTGGGGTGAAAGGATCCTAAAAATCCCCCCTGCCACAAGCAGGGACACCTTCCACAAGATCAGGTTGCTCCGAACCCCATCCAACCTAGCCTGGAAAACTTTTTGGCAATCCTGCCTGGCTGTCTTGGATGCTACTGGAAATCCTGACCAAACAACTTCCCCTTGAGCAAAACAATCGCCTTTCTACGGCTGACTTCTCAGAAAATAAGGAATAGGATTTTCACCTGGTAACAAACTGACCATGTTAGCTCATGGAAATTAAGTCTTTCAGGCTTAAAAGTTCCTTGTCCAAATTAAAGAAACAGAAAAATGGGACCCAACGGTTTTAAAAGTTTCAAACGAAACATTCTTCCAGTAACAGTTGCCCGTGTTTTGCTGTAGGAATTTGGAATGTCACTAGAATGAAGCTCAGTTGATTAAATTCTGTGATCTGCAGGGAACTGATATGCACAGAGCTGATAGAGCTGTTCTACAGTAAATCAATAGGTGAAGGTTGCACCTTTATACCAAGCTAGGAACATCTCTCCAAGCATCCTCTCACCATTTTACACAAAATTCCCTGTAGAGCTCCTCACCTGCGAGCTGCAGAATACTGCATTGCTATCTTATTCACTGTGTTGAATAAAATAATTAAACTGTTTATTTATCATGCTTTGCATTTTGCAGCCCTTCCTCTAAAATATTTCCATCACATTTTTAAAGAAAAAAAATTCATTTGCAAAAGGATCTGCATCATTAGAAATTTGTGGCTCTTATTGCACAGGTAAATATGAGCAGGTGGAATGAGCCACTGTTTTATTTTCTATTTAGAGAACTTTTATACCATTCTCAGAAACATTTGTAACTGCACATAGTGACTGCATTTGTTTCCTCTCTCTGCTGATTTGTCTCCCACTAATTTATTTTGGCTCCTGCTGAGCCATGAGGAGGCACAGAGACATCTCGCTGCCTTCAGCAGCAGCTTCACACACAGGACTGGAGCGGGTTGTGAATCAAACGCATCCAAAAGCGCATCCAAAATCAGGGCAGCACAGGCAAGGAGAGAGCCTTGATGCAGAAATGACGTAGCACACAAACACACAACACACACACCGAGGCTGGCACTTACCAGAGGAAATTCTAGCATTTTATGTTTGCTCCATGAACAAGGAAACAACAGGGGTCAGGCCCCAGCTGCGAAAGAAAACGCGGCAGATCGAGAAAAGAGAATGTTAAAATGAAAAGAGAAGGGAAAGATACAAAGGAGTTCATCTCTCCCAGAAATAAAGCGACATTTAGTTGTGCGGGCGGAGGATCCATTCTGGGGTTAGCGTCTAAACACGCTCCTCTGCTCGGCTGGGGCTCAGAAATGCCGGTCCATTTCTGCCTCATCAATGGGGAGCGTTCTGGGGCTCAGAAATGCCGGTCCATCCCGGCCCCTTCAATTGGGAGCGTTCTGGGGTTCAGAAATGCCGGTCCATTTCTGCCTCATCAATAGGGAGCGTTCTGGGGTTCAAGGAATGCTGGTCCACTTGTGTCTCATGGACTGGGATCGTTCTGAGGTTCAGGAATGCCGGTCCATCCCAGCCTCATCAAGCGGGAGCGGCTCCAGGAGCCCCGAGCCAGCTCCGCTCCCTCGCGGAGTTTATCCCGGCATTTATCCCGCTCTTGGCCGGCGTGCCGCGGGAGCCGCCCCCCCGCACGCGGCTGCCCGCGCTAATTGCGATGTGCTAATTAGAATCTCAAAGCGTGACGCGGTCAGAGAGCCACTCAGAGCTCGGCACACAGAGACTCCAACCCAAACTGCGAAACATCGCCCAAAACTGAGGAACGGGGACAACAACTGCAGCCAAGGGGCTGGGCAGGGTGGGACTGAGCATTTCTGCGCGGGACAGATGCTTCCTTACATAAAACAGACACAAAGAATCACAGCGGTAAATATCTCACCCCACAGGAATCATCTTAATTTCCAGCTCACAAAGACATTAGAAAACTGAGTCTCTCCACATTAGCTTTTACTTGAATTCTTTGACTTCCCACTGCTTTGTTTATAGGAACAGGCTCTCTTTGATGTCGGAACATTAGAAGGAGTGCAACAATAAATTTCCCATATTCTAATATCCAGCATCCCGAGCTTGTTCAAGGACCCCTTGATTCATGAAGGCAAATAATTCAATTACCTGGGCTTTGATCAAGGAGTCGCTGCAGTCCGTGTTTGATGTGGATGGAGGCTGTTTGCAGCTCCGCACGGATAACCGGCCCGCACGGGGTTTAACCCCTTTGGCGCCAGACTGCAGCAGTGCTCTGGCATTGCCAAGCGAGCCCCACAGCATCGTTTGGGAATGCTGCTCCAGAAGGAGCACAGGAGGCATGGCAGGTCCAGGAGGATCCCTGTGCCAGACTGGATGGGATGCTCATCTTCTAAACAAGCTGAAATTATTTCCCAGTGAGTCAACCTGTGTTAAAAGCATTTTTGGGAGCTGCTCTTTGGATGGAATGGCACTGAGACATAAAAATGCTGCTGAGAAGCAAAGGGGTTTGCCTTGGCTGTACAAGAGATCTCATCACGTCCATGCTTCCCAACAATCCCCCCCAAAAGAAATGGGAGTGGGCACAGACTCCTCTCGTCAGGTGAAAGAACACTCCTCAAACAGGAAAATCAAGCAGATCTAAGCCTTCCCTCTCCTCAAATACAGGCACCTGGATGAATTAATCTGTGCCATGACCAAGTCAAAGCCCTGGTGGTACTGCCTGCAGAAAAGCAGAATCTAGTCAATGCAGACACTGTGCTCTCAGCTGATTGCCATTCTGAATATGATTACTGAGAGAATTCCTCACATAAATGAGGAGTTAGGCTCCCCTTCATTCATTCTAAGATTCTTTCGGGACATGAGGAGGTTACTAAAAGGACATAATTAGAAGGCATAATTAATATATAGAAATCTCTCACTCGGTTTCCTACACAGCTCCAACAAAACAGCCATGGATACATCCCTAATTTTAGCAGCAGTTGCATGGATGATGGAAATGACCTCACCAGACTACTGAGATGTGACAAAAACAGTTCTGCAACAGGACTTTTCTGGTCTTTCATGGCAGAAAGGCATCTGTCCTTCACAGCACAGCTGGGGAAAGGATCCCTGTCATGCAGAGTGACATCTCAATTCACAGGATACAGCCTGCAAAACGCATAACGAGCATGCCTGCCTTTCCCTAGATAACAGGCAAATTATTCTGGGGCATGAGGATGTAGATGGAAATTCATGTATTTACTTTAGAATGCTTGATAAGTTCTTAAAAAGTTGGGATGTTTCTGATTTGTTGGAAGATAAAACTTGGGGCCTTCTGTAAAGCCTGGAGGGGAAATGTGTATAATGAATTAGTAAAAATGAGAAAAGGAGTCAATGTACACACAATTTTATGCATTTTCCATAAAGCCAAAGGAGCTGCACATAGAACTAACACGAGAAATGGGAAACCTTCCTCTTGGAGCCAACGCTCCTGGTAACACCAGTGAAAAGCGTTAAAGGAGGAGCTGCTGATCTCCAATTCAGCAAGCAATTAGCATTTATTAGCTCAGAGTAATAAAATGCCCAAGGCAATTATGGGTTAAATATAGTATGTTTTAAAGAACATGGAAACAGTTAAAACACAGGCTTTACTCAGGTTTATTTTGAATTATTTCATTTCTAGTAAAAATTGATGCGATTTCCAGATGGTAGATGCCTCTAGGCAAAAACACTCTCCTTCTCTCCTCCAGTAGGCAAAATGACTAAATACCAATGGCAAAGTCTTTTGTAGACATGATTAATTTAATTTACATTATTTTCTTTATAAAGTATCAATGACCTTCTGTAAATTTTGGGCAGAAAAAAGTAAATAGAAATTAAAAGTCCTGAGTTTTGGTAGCTCTCCTATAATGTACCACTTCCAAGAAATGACTTGCTGGTTACTCATTTCTGAAGGGAAGCACCTTAAAGGCTGAGCTGTTCCCCAGACTGTTTGTGGGGATAGTTACAAGCAGGATTTCACAGCTCTGTGATCAAAATACACAATTGCACCCAGTCCCTCAGTGATGGGGGACACTGCACAGTCTGGTAGGAGCCCTCAGGATGCCTGGAAGGCAGAAATGCACCTTCCCTGACTTGCAGCTCATCCCGAAAAAGCCAAGGTCAGGACCACGAGCAACTGCAGATTTTGGTAAATCTTGGTAGATCTGAGAGCTGGCACTTCCTCGGCAGAATTGTTTCAGCCCAACTAATTTCAACTTGATTGGATAATTAAACATGTATTAGTGCAATTTCATCCATTTGATGGAGCATTGAGTGCATTCCTAACACATTCCAAAACCTGGCTGAGCCCCGGGATGCCCAGCTCCATCTCAACTCAAACACAAACTCAGTGTAACCACCAAAACTCCCTGAAATGCCACATCAAAGGTGCTGCTCAGTAACCCCAGTGTCATTGGATAACCCATGGGCTCCAGCAGCACTCCAGGCTCACCAGTCTGAACTTAGCCAGGAGGTGCAGACATCAGATAAACAGCTTAAACTCACCCGCTCATAAAAATATTGCAAAAAGGCTGCTAACCACAATAACAAAGTTCTGAGCATGTATTAACCAAGGTGGATATTCCCAGTGTCTTCCAAAAGTACAAATCCACACTGAAGGGCACAATAAGGTGGAACTCAATGTCAAGTCCATGTCATGAGGAAAAAATCAGCAATTTTACTTTTGACTTTCAATTTTCTCATGTGTTTTGACTGCTCCTTTAAAGCCCAAGCCAGCAGCCACTTGGTAATTTGTGATGCTCCACAATGACAGCACATCACTGCAACCTGGAGTGAATCCTTGTGCCACCTTTTCCAAGGAGTTCATCATGTCCTAGTTCCATGTGACAGCTGCATATTGCACTTCTGGGTGAGGCAGCAGGGCTGGTTCCCACTCCTCTCTCAGGAGAGTGCTCAGGTATTTCTCAGATCACACTCTTGCCTCATTTCAATCTGGGGTTTTCTTTGTCATGAAGTAAATAATTATTGAAATCATTGAATGCACCAAAACTTAATTTTAGCTGCTCCCAGCACTTTGATATCTACTGACACAATACACAGACAAATGAGCTTTTGCTGTTGGATCCAGAAAGTGAAACAATGTCAGCAGAAGATCACTGGACATCTCTCCAAGCTTGTAGTGAGGAGTGTGATTGCCCTGCAGGCTGGACGTGGAAACCTTGCTCAGTTCAGGGAGTAGGAAGAGTCAGAGGAGAGGGCAAATGTTGGATGAGCCTGGCCCAAGGAAACTGAGAAGAATGTCTCCACTTTTAAACACAAATGGAGCTGGCTGAGTCAAGGAGAAATATGAAAATTAAAAAAGAAAGGTCAGAAGAGGCTGCTGTACCTGCTAAAGGTGAGGTTACAGCAGGGCAAAGTTTGCATTGCAAAGTGGGAAAGTCTGGGGGTGAAACGTTCACTGAATATTAGATATGGAGCTGCACAGGGAGAGCAGAACCTGACAAACTGAGGGGCAAGGAATCTCACGCACACCTCAGCAAGCTGAGTGACCTCCAGCTGAAGGTGCAGGAACCAGAGAGAGCCCAAGCGAAGGCTGGGAGCACAGGCAGGACTCTGAGGGCACAGAGACACCAGCCCAGCTGCTGAGTGTGGTTCCCTGTGGGCCAGGGCAGGCAGGTGCCCCAATCAGCTGGGAATGCTCCAAATCAGCTTTCCTTGTCCCAGCAGTGGACTGGGACCTGCAGCACCGGGCTGGGGAGCGCTGAGCAAGGAGCAGCTGAAACCAGTGTCACACACAGGGCAGTAGCCAAAGCACCACAGAAAACAGAGATCTCCAAGAGGATTTGTAACTCAGTACTTGAAACGTGAACATAATGAATTTATGAGTATAATTTTTTCATATAAATATTACAAAATTCATAATTTTAAGGACAGAAAAAGCAATTATGACCTACAGGCTGTCTGACCTACAGCCACTTGTATTGCTACCTAATCAGCCCTTTTGTATGTAAATGACAAATTGTTTGCATGCAAATGCCACTGCCTGCTCTGTTTTCTTCTTGCTTTAGAAAGAGAAATGCTATGGAAATTGCCACCGTGCTAAAAAGAATTGAAATGCATACTAATCAGCCATATTCTCTCAGCTATACCAGCTATAATTGGAACAGTAACAAATAAAAAGGCAACAATCAGCACTGGACAAAATTTTCTATTTGAATCAGAGCCCCAAGTAAAATTATTCAGCTGCTTTTCAAAATTTTGGAACTTCATCCGTCTGGAGAAATTGGGTTTGAAACTGTGAATGAACAGTGACTTTTCACTAATATGAAATATTGAAGATCTCTGGAATTTCAATTGCAA